ATACACACCACGTTTACCAATCTGTGCAAGAATGTTTACAGCTGTATTTGGGTATCGGGGATGGAACTCAGGACCTTGTGCTTGCGAGGCAGGCGGTGGAATCAGTGAGCTAAATCCCCGACCCTTTACAGCTGTATTTGTAAGAGAAGTTTGGTCCATCAACAGTAGCATAAATGTAGCTTAGTATTTACCCAATAATCAAAAGCTGTATAGCAGTGAGGATAAATACACTGCAATTACGCACAACATGGGTGAATCTCACAAAATATAATATTGAGTGAAAGAAGCCAGATACAAAAGAGACCATAGAGAATAATTCCATTTAATCTATGCTGTTAGAAATCAGTTTGGTGGTTACCCTTGGGAGGAGAATAATAACTGGAAGGGGAAGTAAGATGGGTTTTGGGAAAATAGTCTTTACGAGTTCCACATTCACAAATTCAACCAAATGTGGGTCAAAAATGTAAGGGAAAAATACCGCCTCTATACTGAATATATACAGACTTTCTTTTCTTGTTATTATTCCCTAAACAGTATAACTAAGAGCATTTATATTTTATTAAGTATTACAAGTCATCTAGGGATGGTTTAAAGTATATGGGAGGGTATAGCTTATCTGCAAATACTATGCCATTTTATATAAGAGACTGGAACATTTATAGATTTTTGGTATCCATGAGTGTCCTGGAACTGATCTCCAGCAGATACTGAGAAATGATTGTATTTTTTTGTACTGGGGATTGAACTCGGGACCTTGCGCTTGCGAAGCAGGTGGCAGAACCACTAAGCTAAATCCCCGGCAATGATTGTATTTATAATGCTCGATTTCTTGACACGAGAGGGGTCAATTTATGACAGTTCTTTGATTTGTATATTTAATGTTGTGTACACTTTTCCCTTTTCGGGGGGGGGGCAAGGTACCAGGAATTGAATTCAGAACCTCTCACTTGCCAGGCAGGCACTGTACTGCTGAACTACATCCCTGGCCCATTTCCCTTATGTTATGCTGTGCACTTTTCTATATGTAGTATATGGTACGTAACAAAGTTTTTACTTTATAAAAGTGTATATTAGATAACTCAGAAGAACTGGTGACTCTGGGTGTATATCTCAATGCCTGATTTCATACCCAGAGTCATGCCACTGAACCACACTACCACCACCAAACAGGAAACTTCAGCTTTCCCCACTGGCCACTCCCATCTTGCTGCCTGGGCACTTGATCCTACTGTGGCTTCTTCCTTGCCCCTGGGGTGCTTTTTCCATTTCAGGCTCCATTATAGCCCCCCTATTAAAGACTGGGATGAGCTGGGCATGATAGTACATGTTATAGTCCCAGCTGCTTGGGAGGCTGAGATGGGAGGATTACTTAAGTCCACAAGTTCAAGACCAGCCTGGACAACATAGTAAGACCTTGTCTCAAAAATTTGAAGTCTGGGGTGGATACCTTTGGTAGACAGAGCCTAGCACAGGTTCCCTTCTTTGCTGGAAGGAGGCTGAGAAGGCAGGTGGCCAACTTTGTCAGTGGGCAGTGATATCGACCAGACATTGCAACCCAGTTGGCAAGTTGGTGTTTCATACTTTGGGCAGCCATAAAGAGGGACATCTTTGAGGTGAACATTTAAAAAGTCAGTAGAAAGTAGATTTCAGCTGTTAGGAAGAGTGGACTGAGAGATAGAAGTTTAAGAGAATGTGACATTCAGGTCCAGTAGAAACAAGTACAGCCAGATTAAAGGGTATGTTCTGGGAAAGTGGTTTGAGAGACTGAAGGAATAGGGTGGGATAAGATTAAGGGTTACTTTAAAAGTCAGGGGGAGCAATTTAAGTTTAATATGGGAACTTGGGAGCCAGTAAAAGTTTTTGAACAAGAGAGTGGATTTAAGAGGAAGTGGTATTTAAGGACTACTAATCTGGCAGCACTAGTTATTTAGAGGTGGTGTGGTATATTGGAAGTAGAAATGAAACAAGAATTGGATTTAAGAGAAAGGTTTTTTTTGGTACTGGGGATTGAACTCGGGACCCCTAGCCCTTAAGAGAGAATTTGAAGGAAAAAAAATCAGTAGGATTTTATGAAGAGAATGAAGTAGAAACTATTTCCAAATCGGCTGAGCCAGAGTGCCTGGCCCTGCCTTTCAGTCAGAGGGAAAGTAGGAGAGTGGATTTTAGTTTTGGAATTGTTGCTTTTGAGGTCAAAGATATTTAACTGAAAGTGAACCCTGTGCAGTTGGACACGGAGACCAGCAGTGGAGGTAGAAAGGCTCTGAAGGGGCTGGAATGAAGTACTGGGCCCCTGGCATTTCTCAGTACTTGCCATAGGCCAAGTAGATAGACTATCTTGAATTTGATTTCCTGTGGTACCTATGACGCAGAGCCTGTGCCTTCTGCTTGAGCAAGCTTCAATTCTCCCACCTTGGAACACATTGATCCTACTATTGTTTTACACAATTTTCTTCTGCTCCTCTGTTATCTTTGGAAAGTAAATTATTAATACACGAAAGGCTTTTCTTGCTTGTTTATTAATAGAGTTAAATACAAGGAGAATATGCTGAAACTTTTTATTTAAACTTAAAAATTTTTTTAGGGAATGGTGGCACATGCCTGTAATTAATTCCAGATATTCAGGAAGCCAGGGCAGGAACATGGAGAGTTTGAGGCCAACCTAGGCAACTTATATAAGATTTTGTCTCTAAATAAAATACTTACTTAATATTTGTTTTTTTGAGACAGGGTCTCACTATGTAATTCAGACTGGTCTTGAGCTCATGGTGATTCTCCTGCCTCTCAGCCTCCTGAGTGCTGGGATCACAAGTGTGGGCCACCACACTTGGCTCAAAATAAAATTTTTAAAAGGGTTAGCTAGGAGTGTAGTTCAGTGGTAAAACACTTGCTTAGCATGCTTGAGGCCTGGGCTCAGTCCCCAGTACTACAAACAAAGAAAAAATACATAAAATTGTACAAAATAATGTGATTTTTGATACATGTATATATTATATAATATTTAAATTAGGTCAAATATAATTGTCTTATCTCTCTTCAAACATTTGTTTTTTGGGGTTTTTTTTGGAAATAGTGTTGCTATGTAGTCCAGACTGGCCTTGAACTCACTGTGTAGCCCAGGCTGGTGATCCTCCTGCCTCAGCTTCTCAGAGTGCTGGGATTATAGGCGTGTGCCACCATACCCAGCTTTTGAACATTTATCATTTTTTTATGGTGAAAAATTTTTATACTGTGCCATAGTATATAAGAGCTTCTTGTTTCTATCTAACTGTAATTTAGTACTACTCCGTCTCTCCCTCTGCCTACTCTCCTCTGCCTGTGGTAACCACCATTCCACTTTTTTTTTTTTTTTTGTGGTACCAGGGATCAAACTCAGAACCTTGTGCTTGCAAGGCAGGCGTGGTGCCACTGAGCTAAATCCCTGGCCCAATTCCACTTTTAACTTTTAAGGAGACAACGAAAAATCTACAGACCAGTATCTCTAATATGCATAGATGCAAAAATTCTCAATAAAACACTGGTAAATCAAATTCATCCACATATCAGAAAGGTCCATCATGATTGACCAAGTGGGATATACCCCAGGGACACAAGGATGCCTCAAAAGCTAGGGACTTTAAGCCACACTGAGAGAGACAGCATATGAAAAAAGCAAAACTCCAGTTGACTGGAGTTCTCTGCATCATTGCAGGGTAGCTTTGGATTTGTACGACAGGTCCATTCCATATTGTACTTAGAAAAGAGTGGCAGTAAAACCTACTTAGGTCTCACAAGGTCTTTTTGAGCTTCAACCAATAGATTTAGTCAGTAATCACAAGCTTTCCCGTACTATTTGGGCTTGCTAGGGCAGCTGCGGCTGTGGAGCGTGATGGTAGGCTTTTGTGTTCCGCTTGAAAGCTATTGCTGAGGCAGGCCTGCTGAATATTCTTCTTAAGGCTTTGTTCTCTACATTCTGCTGCATTCCCCTACCTGTAGATGCCACTGGATTGCTCAGATATTAAAGACTGTGCAGCTATCTTAACAGGAAATAGCTTCCCCTTCAGGTGAAGTGTGAGACAGTGAAGAAAATCCTTAGGTGCTTGCTCATTGTTTATGCTCCAGGTGTGTTTGCTGGGATAGTCCCCCCACCTCTCCATTAGTATTTTGAGGCCTTGGACTCTTCAGTTTACTGGTAATGTTCCTGTGTTTAAGTGTAGAAGATTGGAATCAAGTTAACCCAAAAGTCCCAAAGTCATTGTCTCTGTAAAGTTTCTCTGCCTAAAGAGGGGAGCAAGCAGGTTGAGAATTTAGGAAGTAATTTTGATTTCATGTCAAAAAATTCCTCAGCCTTTCTAGTTAGTTAGATATTAAAGTGAAACAAAGTGATGAACTTTGCATTTAGGAATAACCTTTTATGGATCTAACCGCTTTTGCAGTGCTGCTTTGATGGTCACACGATACACTTGGATAGAAGAGCTCTCCCACATCTGATCCCATCAGAGTGAAATCATTTGGAAGGACATCTGTGGGTCCTAGGTTACATCATTTGTCCCAAGATTTGAAGCAAAGAGACCGTAGAACATCTGATCTGTTACTAGTTTTGTATAGTTTTGCCAGCTGGTTTGAGAGAACCAGGAACATCCTTTTTAAGTGTTCCCTTAACTAATTTACTTCGAACCCCCCCTAAAAGCAAACTCTTAATTGCCTAAAACTAAACTAGAACAGCACAGATGAATGGAAGTAGTTAGCAGGAGGCAGAACGTCAACGTCACCAGTCTGTACCATTATGTAAGCATTCCAGGTCTAGTAACCATTCTTTTGGGAAAGGAAATTGGTTCCTTAATCAATAGGATTCAGTTAAAGATTGCAAAGAAAAACAGTTACTAGGATACCATATACAGTATATTTAAAAATACTTTGTTTTATTTTAGAGCTGGTTGAACTTCAGTGGTGGATATAACTCGTTTTTATTTTATATGTTGTTTTTGCAGTATAATTTTAAAATCTTTTTTTTTCAACTCTAGGGGCTGCCCGGTCTTGTGCGTTGGAACTTAATTTGACAAATTCAGAAAAAGCCACTTGCCTTTATGCAAAATGGCAGATGAATTTCACAATACACTATGAAACTACAAACAAAACTTATGTAAGTTACCATTTTTCTTTGAGTTTTATAAGTAGGAATTTAATTCTGACTTTTTTATGCTTTGGATAAATTGGTACAAATAAGATTTCATGTTAACTGACTTAACATGTAAACTGTATTTTTAACACATTATAGTTTTTGTAGGTACTGTATTCTACTTAGTGTTGGAATGAATATTTCTTATAATTCATTAGTTCTTTCGCATTTTCTTGGAGGTGGTTAGGGACAAATGATCTGAAGGCTACAAGATAATTCAGATCTAACCACTTCTGTAACATGTTTAGAACATGTTAACATTACATCTTGCCCTTTGAAAAATAGCTTGCTATTAAATTTTCTTATGGGGGGGGGTCTCTTATTCCTTTTGCCTTACTTTCTTTTTGTTAAGGTCTCATTTACTTACAGCCTTTTTTGTTGGGTTTTTTTTTTTTTTTTTTGAGACAGGGTCTCAATGCGCAGTTCAGACTGGCCTTGAGCTCACTATGTAGCCCAGGCTGGCCTCAAACTCTCATCTGTCCTCCTGATATCCTAATTTAAAAAAAAACAAAACTTAGCTTAGGAGCTACACATGTAGTTCAGGGTTAGAGCACTTGCAGCATGCAGGAGATCCCAAATTCCATCCCAGCACTGCAGCACAATCAGAACATCAGCTATAAAACAGTCCTTCAGGCCAGTTTTTCTTTTTGTTTTGGACATACAAAAAGTATGTGTGTAGTTGGTTTTGGTGGCACACACCTATAATCCCAGCACTCCAGGAGGGCTACATAGTGAGTTCAAGGCCAGCCTGGACTACATAGGGAGACCCTGTCTCAAAAAAAAAATGTATGTGTGTAGCTGAAGAATCTGAGGCTGATTTACACTGTACACCTGGCTGGGGCGACCTGGCCTCGGGGAATGGGTGATATAGACTGATGCTGCATACCACCTAGCCTGCTAAGGGTTGACACTGCCTATTTGTTCCTCACCTCTGGACTTTTTTTTTCTTTTAGAAAACTGCAACCATTTCAGACCATGACAATGTGACATATAATGGAAGCATTTGTGATGATGACCACAATGTTTCCAAAATAGCTGTGCAATTTGGATCTGGTTTCTCCTGGATTGTGAATTTTACCAAGCAGGAGCCTAATTACTTTATTGACAGCATCTCATTTTCCTACAACACTGAGGATAACATAACATTTCCTGGTGCTAAAGATAAAGGTAATCTTAAGAATTGGATTTGTGTTATGTTCTCTGACTTTGTGTTAATAATAAAAGTGTAAGCAATTTAAAAATCGTTATGGATGTCTGTCTTCCTAATCAGAATGGAAACTTCATGCATTTGCTTCCCCTCCCTTCTACCTTGACCCCATGCAGAGCTGAGGCAGGACACACTAATGATTTTGCCATTGCTGAGTCTTTACTCTGTATCACTTATTATCCAGAGTGTTACTTAGGGCATCTCATTCCTGGGAAGCAGATATTATCTGTTTTACAGGCAAGGGGAATGAGATTTGATGACATGGAGTTCTCAAAGGTCACGAATCTAGTAAATGCATGACCAGCAGGCCTTTGAACCAAAGTCCACTGAGCTACAGAATTCATGCACTTGTTATTATCTATTTTGTTGGATGGTGGACAATCAAAGAGTGTTGAATAAATGGGAAAGTCCTTTCCTAATTATTATTTTAAATGTACACAAGTTTAATAGCCCTAAGGCTAGAAGATCATCTTTAGATCCTTTTACCATTTAGATAAGATTTTGACTAAAAAGTGATGATTAAAATGAGTAAAGTCAACATTTTGAAACAATTTCAGGTCAAAATGAACTTAGAAAGGCATTGGCAATTAGGTTATTCTTGTAATTCCCAGAACTGAATTGTGCACTTGTAAAATATTGTGAAGGTGAGGATAGTGCAGATTCTAGTTCTACTAGGGATGTGCTGTAATTGTTTTCTTCCCCCTCTATGGAGATTGGGTTAACATTGATGTCTGTCATATCTTACCTCTTCTCACAGATAGTTTCATTTTGACTCTAGAATTACAGGTAGATCAATATTAGTTGCCCAGACTTGGAGATTAATAACTTATTTGGAATTGTATATCATAACATCATATTTGAAGACCAAGAAGTGAATGAGTTCACATGAAACTTGAGAACCAAATCCTAATATTCCTTTGTTAATCTCTTAGTTTGAGAGGGTAACTAAATCAAATAGGTATTGTCTGTCTTCCATATTTATCTTTGTGCCCTGCTTTGTCTTTGAGAACTAGACTAAGATTTACCCCTCACTTTCAAGGAGCTTAGAAATCATTTGGGAAGACAAAGGTAAATTGTGTTTTCAAGTTATATGGAAAATTGGCAAATATTGAGTGTATAGAGAGTGAGTTCTGCACATGGCATAGTGTCTGACCCATTCCCTGGGGCTAAGAGCACCTTCTTTATAAGTGTCTTCACCACCGGTCCTGATTAGGAGCAGAGAAAGGTGAAGTCAGAGTGTGAAAACTTGGTGGAGTTGCACTTGAGCTGAAACTCAGCTAATGGTAGAGAATTTCAGTAAACTGAGGAATTTGTGCAGTGTGTTTCCAGCAGGGGGAAGCATAGCATGTGTAGCAGTATTGGGAGAGGTGCCCAACTGAAACAGGCTGTGTGTGGAGCAGAAGAAAGTTGGCCAAGTGCAGTGGGTCTACATTACAGGGTATCTTAGAAGTCAAGGAGAGGCATTTAGGTTGATGGAGTAGGCACTGGGGAACCACTTTAGGTCTTTTAAGCCGGAGAGTGATATTTTAAAAAGCAGAGTCATTTATAGAAGAATATTCTGCAGGGTTCATTTGGATGTGAGGAGATTGCAGGCTGAGCTGCTAGCTTCAGAGGCTGGTACAGTAATCAAGGGGAGAAGGAATAAATGGCCAGACCAGCTGTGCAGCCCTTGAAGCAGGAGGGCTTTGCGTAGGAAAGCTATGATGTTAACACTTTTCTCTTTCCCCTCTTTGGTTTTAAACAGAATGGTGACTATTTTTTCTATTACTAGCCTCTCTCTCTCTCTTTTTTGTGGAGTTTTTGAGACAGTGTCTTGCTATGTAGTCCAGGCTGCCCTTGAACTCGAATCGATCCTCCTGCCTCAGCTTCCCAAGTACTGGGGTTACAGATGTGTGCCACCATGCCTGGTCTCTATCACTAGCTTCTATGTAATAAAATATTTGAAACTATTTAGAATTTAAAATGACTTCCTTAATAAATGCTGTTGATGATAATAAATATTTTTAGTACTTTTGAGCATCTGATAATTTAAGTAACTTTGAAGCTCCCGTTTCCTTTTTGAAAATGTTTCCATGATTAAAATATGATGCCAGGCATGGTGGCACATGCCTGTAATCCCAGCACTTGGAAGGCTGAGTCAGAAGGATTGCTGCAAGTTCAAGGCCAGCCTGGACTGCATAGCAAGACCCTGTCTCGAAAAATAAAAGTACAGAGAATAACAGATTCATAGTACCCATTACCCAGAATTAATAAATGCCATTTAATATTTGGTCAATCATTTTAAATCATTTGGTCAATCATTTGGTCAATCATTTAAAGAAATAAACCTTTATAGATCCATCTGAATGAAGTCTCTTTTATCCTCACTTCCCAGCTCTTGTTTTCCTGCAACCACTCTCACAACTTCGAGGTATAGCCTTCCTGTCCATGTGTTTGACTTTACTACATATGTTCATATTCATAAACAATACATGGTTGCTGGGGATTTAGCTCAGTGGTTCTGGCACCTGCTGCGCAAGCACAAGGACCCGAGTTCAATCTCTGGTACCAAGAAAAAATACATGGTTGATAAAACACAGTTTCTGGGTGTAAACTCAGTATGTTTTATAGCTTTTTTGGTGGAGGGTACTGAGGATCGAACCCAAGACTTTCAAACTGAGCTATTTCCCCAGCCACCTTCTTTTCTATCATCCTTCTGCTTTTTTCCTTCCTCCCTTCCTCCCTTTTTTTTTTTTTTGGTACTGGGGATCGAACTCGGAACCTTGCACTTGCGAGGCAGGTGGCAAAACCACTGAGCTAAATCCCTGGCTTTTTTTTTTTTTTTTAAATTTTGAGACAGTCACTGAGTCACTAAATCGCCCAGGTTAGGCTTGAACTTGTGAGCCTCCTGCGTCTGCCTCCGTCTCCCGGAGTTTTGGGATCACATGTGTGCACCACTCATGCCCAGCTACAGTTTGTTGTTTTACTTTGTTTATTTTTGAGATCTTTCTATATTCAGCCAATTTCCATATCTATTCATTTTTGTTAACAGTGAGAAACAGTTTTAGGAATATGTTCTAGTTCATTGGTTTAAAAGAATTCCTTTGACCATTAGGGGTTGCCAAGGTAGCATTAAATGCCCGCTTTGCTACCTGACTCAGGTACAGAAGGAAGCCTCTATTAATGATCTTGAAAGTATCTTCCTTTCTTGATACTTCAAAAAGAAACTAAGCCATTTAGATATGTGTGATCATAGTCCTTTGAAGTTTCTCTACAGGCATTCTGATCAAAACGGTGCAGAATGGCTTTTTGCCTTCTGAAGATTTTCTGAAATGGAATATTCTTTAAATTCCATCCAGGAGGAGTTTCTGTAAGCTCATTAGAATTGATAAAACTTACTTTACAATAGTAGTGTAAAAATAAGGATTTACGGGCTGGGGATTTATCTCAGTGGTTCTGCTGCCTACCTCGAAAGCACAAGGTCCCGAGTCCGATCCCTGGTACCAAAAAATAAAAAAAAAAAATAGATTTACTATAAAATCTGTGATGACTTCATTGCTCTTTCTACCTTATTCACAGTCACTAAGTCCTGTTTGTTCAGACTTAGGTATTTTCAATTTGACTTCTTTGCTTTCTTCCCACTGCCCTCACTATCTTAGTGCAGGCCGACCCCTCTCACCTTTCACCTTAACCAGGCCACTGGTCTCCTGTCTGGTTTCCTTCTTAGATGGCTTCCCTGAAAAGTTTTCTTCTGTGCCTCTTTGATATCTTCCTTAAAATAAATCATGTAACTAGTCTTATTTGAAATTTGAAGCTAATGGCAGGGAGAGGAAAAAGCACAAGAATGAAGATGTGTTATGTACAAGTATCAACTCCCCATAAGGAATATAATCGTTATGTACTGCAAATATGGACTAACGAAAATAAATTTGAAGCTAGCCCCTCCATTGGTAACAAAGAAAGCAACGTTATCCTTAGGTGATAGAAGATGCTTAAAAATGAAACCAACCATAATTCATCTTTTCTGCTTAACTTCTGTTTCTTCTTCCGCCTTGCTCTCTGTGTTTCAGCCACAGTGAATTTGTTGTTCTTGTCAAGATGTTATAACCTGTGTCACTTTGGGCATGGGGTGGAGCAGGCAGGGAGGAAGAGAGAGCATACACATTCATTTATATTTTTATATTATCACTTTTTTGTGCCTTCTTGGAAACAGAGCCATTTTTAATCTTGTTTTATAGGAATTGTTACTGTTCATTATTCTGAGAAAGTCAGCATTCCATTGAATGACATCTTTAGATGCAGTAGTTTATTAACTTATGAAGAGAACCATGTTGTCCAGCACTATTGGGATGTTCTTGTTCAAGCTTTTGTCCAGAATGGCACAGTGAGCAGAAAAGGTAAGTGCTAAAATTATGGGGGTTTTTTTGTTTTGTTTTGTTTTGTTTTGTACCAGGAATCGAACTTGGGACCTTGCATTTGTGATGCAGGTGGTGGCACCATTGAGCTAAATCCCCGGCCCTAAAAGTATGTATTTCTTTATTTATTTTTTTTTTTTTTTTTGGTACCGAGGATCAAATTTAGGACCTTGTGCTTGCAAGGCAGGCACTGGAACCACTGAGCTAAATCCCTGGCTCTTTTTTTTTTTTTTCGGAACTGGGGATTGAACTCAGGACCTTGTGCTTTCCAGGAAAGTGCTGGCACCACTGAGCTAAACCTCCAGCCCAAAAAGTATGTACTTTTTTTTCTGTACTTAGGTCCTAATTTATGAGTATGCCAGGTGATGTTCATTGAGGTCATTATCGGAAAGCATTTCTAGATTAAGGCTTGTATGTAGCTTCCACAGAGCTGTAAAGTTTTTGTATACAATAGCAATTCTTGTGAAACTTGTAATTTAAAGTTTATGATATACATGTGGAGTGGTCTTTTAAAAGGCTCCACTTGTAATGTTTCCATTAGCTGATAAAACCTAATCTTCGTTTTGAAAAGGTCCTCCAGTAGCTAGACCAAAGCTTAGAAATTAGATGTGTTCTAATCTTTACTTTTGTAAATTGATTTTACAACGTCTGTGTAACTTTATGGAAATGTGATAGTTTCTCATTCACTAGTCCCGGAATCCTGACACTTTTAAGAAGTAGAAATGCATATGATTTGCTGTAGGGGTAATGTAAATGAAAGGTTCATTTGTATTGACATCATAAATGATCTCCAAACTTTTTTTCTAGTGAACAGTATCCTTTATAGTGGTTGTATGTGAGAAGGAAAAAGGTGGGTGAGGTAGGGGTTAAATGTTTTCAGATTTAAATCTCTAAGTTTCACATCAATCAGAGACAAGTAAAATTCTTTGGAATGAAGGCATTTAAGAGGTTCAGTCATGTGTAAGGAGATGAACCTCTGGGTGTATCTTGAACATGTCTGCTATGTCACAGAAACTGGATATGAAGCAGCAGTTTAATAACCTCTGCCTCATTTAGCTTAAAATACACTAAGAGGATATTCCTTTCTCGTGAACCCTCTCCGACTTCTAGTGTGAAAAATATTTTGCTCTTCCCTGGCCTAATGAATTAAGAAAAAGACCACCTTCATTCATTGTGTCCTTTGTTTGCTTGTTGTAGAATTTCTGTGTACGAAAGACAAAGGTTCCACAACAGTGGCACCCATCATTCACACCACTGTGCCCTCTCCTACTACAACACCCACTCCAAAGGAAAAACCACAAGTTGGAAACTATTCAGTGAGCAACGGCAACACCACGTGCCTGCTGGCTACCATGGGGCTGCAGCTGAACATCACTCAGGATAAGGTATGCTTGTCCATTTTCACCCATACATACTTTGTGTATTTTTGCCAGGTACTGTATATCCTACTGTCCACCCAACAGGAGTGTTACTAGAATGATGCCATTTTAAAATGGAGATCTGATGTTGACTTACTGAATTTTGTTTAATTTGGAGTTAGGAGAACCATGAAGACCTAATGTCACTGGTAAGGTGTTGTCTCAGCCCGGATAAAACCTGGCAGTTGAAAGGACATTTGGGAGTTTAGATTCTGTTTGCATTCAGTAGATCAGAGTACACGTAGTTGAGCTTTATTGTGTTCATTCTGTTTAAAATACAATTCCTAGGCTGGGGATGAATCTCAGTGGTAAAACACTTGCCTAGCATACTTGAGGCCCTGACTTTGATCCCTAGCACTGCCAGAAAATGAAAATCTATAACTCCTTCACACACTTTAATCTGAAATGTACTGTAGGCTGGTGTACATGAACAGCACAACTATGTTTCCCCAGCTGTTTGATGACTCAGATCATAGAGACATGCTCAAGTCCACCATGGTTCTACTTGCAGTGCTCCACTAGGACTCCAGAGGGCGTGCCAGTAGCTAAATCTCATTTCTAGGATCCTGTGACTGAAACAAGCTAGACAGATGGCTCTTGTTTTTTGTTTTTGTTTTTTTTAAATCATCAATTAAGTTTATCGGTAAAATTTAGATATACATAATGATTAGACAGATGGCTCTTATGCTCTGTAAAAATGTGTGTTTTCATTTGGCTCATTCCCAAAGAAGCTTTCTTCTTGTTTTTTAAGTTGTCTTAGTCATAGCTTGAAGGCCCATGCCAAGTTTGTTTGAAAGTAAGATACCATGAATTTAAGTTTCCAAACAAAGCAGTTTTTGTTCTGCATTGAAATTGACCTTATTAGAGTAGAAGGCTTTGCTGTCAACTTTTACATAGTTAATGTAGATTTTCCCTCTCTCCTTCCCCTGCAGATTGCTTCAGTTATTAACATCAACCCCAATTCAACTGGCTTCACTGGCAGCTGCCAACCCCAGACTGCTCAGCTTAGGCTGAACAGCAGCATCATTAAGTATCTTGACTTTGTCTTTGCTGTGGTGAGTAACAGATTTTTCTAAACATTAGATGCATTCTCTGAAAAAACATACCTGAAAATCTAGTGTGTGTGTGTGTGTGTGCGTGCGTGCGCGTGTGCGTGATGGTGGGGATTTAGCTTTGTTTTCCATTACAATACTACTTAATAGTAAAGTGTAGTCCATTGATCCCTGTTCATTTCTCAGACTCTGCTTCGTGGTCTGTAGGCTGGATTCTTTTATTAATATTCACTAACAATGGCCATTCTGCCATTATGTGGACTCTAGGAACAAGAATTACATTAAAAAACTACCTGTGTGCTATCTCCACATATAAGTAATTTCTGTAATAATATTCTTCTCTTACAGGGTAGGCAGCTCTCATGTTTATTATAATAATTTTAATCTTTTTAGGAGTAATACCATTTGTATTAGTGTCAGTAATAATAATAGCTAACATTTATTGAGAACATTCATCCCTCTGTATCTGTGGGTTCTGCATCCATGGATTCAGTCAACCTTGGATCAAAAATATGAAGGGAGCTGGGTGTGGTGGCACACATCTATAATCCTAGCACTTGGGAGGCTGAGGCAGGAGAATCACCATGAGTTTGAGGCCAGCCTGGACTACATAGTGAGTTCAAGGCCAGTGTGAACTACATAGTGAGATCTTGTCTCAAAAAACAAAACAAAACAAAACAATACTGAGGGATGACCTTACTTACTATATACAAGGCTCTGTGTAAGTACATGTATTAATTTATTAAATCAGGATAATTTATAATGCCAGCATTCAGGTTTTTCATGTTTCTGTCAAAAGCTTAACCCTAAATAGAATATTATAGGTTAAGCATACCTGTTCTTCTTGTTAGTAAAAATGCATCATTGGGGACCTTTACTTCCATCTTTTTGGGAACATTTGTTATCTTCATACATTTTTGTGAGGGGAAACATGTACATGTTATAGCAAATGGGAACAAAGAATAAGGGATAGCTATAGGGGAGAGAAAATGAACTACAGGGGTTCTCCAACTAAGAGCTTTTGTACCATTGGACAGGAACCAGTGCTTTTTTTTTTTTTTTGGTACCAGGAATCGAACTTGGGTCCTTGCGCTTGTGTAGCAGGTGGTGAAACCACTGAGCTAAATCCGTGGCCCTAGTGCTGCTTTTAAATCAGATTACTTTATTTAAAAATGGTGTAGGCTGGGGATGGTGGCAAATGCTTATAATCCCAGCACTGGGGAGACTGAGGCAGGAGGATTGCTGTGAGTTCAAGATCAGCCTGGGCTACATAAACATAGTGAGTTCAAGGCCAACCTGAACTACACGGCAAGACCCTGTCTCAACCCAAAAAAGGGGTGGGGGATATAATAGTCTCAAGATCTGATAAGTAACAGGTGTAGGGAACAGGGAAAGGGGACATTACTAGAACCTATGCAGTAAGTCCTAGTCTCCTGCGAGCCACGGCAGCACAAGGTGAATTACAGGGAAGGTAGAAAAATGAGACTGAGAAGAAGCTGAGCTTTGGGTCTGGTCAGTGCTGCTCTGGGCAACAAAGACAAAAGCCCCCACCGCACCTTTTATTCAGCACTCAGTACATCGGGAGAAACAAATGTAACAAATGACTTGCAGAGAGTTCAGTACATCCTGCATAACCAAGATGTAACAATAGAAGAACAATGAGGAACTGAGTAGATGTTGGTTCCTCCCAGGATGTTTCTTGTCCTGGAGAATCACAGCATCACCGGATCATTGAGGTCTCAATTGTGACCGGAGGCCAAAATGGAATTGTGTCTCGGAATTCCATAGCTGGGCTGTAGGCAGGAGAACTAGGGTAAACAAATGATTTTACCCTAAAATTATGTAGCATTGCTCCCGACAAGTAGGTATGTTATTTTATATCTAAATGTATATCTTGACTAATTCCTTCTGTATAGAACATATACTGAAGATTATATTAGACAATTATATTTTAGAAAGGTTTACAAAAATCTTCCTTTTCCTAACATTCAGATAATTCCTCTGCTATATTTCATATATGCTCAGTGAATTGTTATTTAAAATGTCCATTTAGGCTGAGGCTGTAGCTCAAAGGTAGAGTGCTTGTCTAGCACGTGCAAGGCCCCAGGTTCTATCCCTAGTGCTGTTTAAAAAAAGGTGTAAATATGTGTAATTAAACTTGTCTTCTCCAGACTAGGGATGTAGCTCATTGCAGAAGCTCTTGTCTGGTATTTGTGAGACCCTGGGTTCCATGCCCTGACTGTAAAAAACACCTCAAAACAAAAACTTGTTCTCTTACCTACATTAGAGCAGCCCTTCATAGACACATTCTCTCCTAAGTAATCACATAGGAATTATGGTCAGTAAAAAATGAAGAAAGTAGTATTTCCTTTTGAGTGATTGAGTCTGATCTTTCTAGCTGTGGTAGGCTCTGAAGTGGAACATGGCTTCTTCAACTCTCATGGGAAAACATTGAATTTTTTGGTGGGGGGGGCGGTACCGGGGAACGAACTCGGGTCCTTGTGCTTTCGAGGCAGGTGGCGGAACTACTGAGCTAAATCCCTGGCCCCTGTTGAATATTAATAATCACAGTAGTTATTTTGCCCATCAGCCTATTTTAAATGTAACCCCAAATAGTGACATTTTAACCATGTTTCAGGCAATTTGGAAAAAATCAGGAAACACCTGCAATGTCACCAGAATCGGGATCAACATCAACTTCAACCCTGTCCTGATACATGCTCCTTAGGAGAATTTATAGAATTCAAGTGTTACATGTGCAGGCTATTGTGGTAGGATATAAAGAAAGAAACTTGTGTTCTTAAGGAGCCTACACTTTAGTGGTAAAGATAGAAACACACAAATAAATAATTAGTACTTTTGTGCAAGGCCTAACTGAACACCACACTCGGGCTTTTGAACTTATTTCTGTGGGCCCGAGGCACCCGAGGAAGGTACATGCACAGTGCTGAGGGAGAGTTGGGGAGGTGTGGAAGAGGTGGCATTTGATCTGGGCCTTCGAGGATAGGTCAGATTTGTACATAAAAAAGTACAGGTTACCCTTGGATAAAGGAACGTGTTCAAAACCAGCTGGAGAACCATGCATGTGGCACAGTTAGTAGAAGGACGGGGCTGTAGTTGGGACCAGCTATGAAGAGCCTCAGATGCTAAAACATTGCCTAGGCAGAGGAGTGATGTGACAAGGTCAGCAAGTCCTCCTCTGCTTCCTGCTGAGATTTGTCTCGAGTCTAGCCCCTCATTTTTATTTCCCCCTGCTTTTGGTCTGGTTTCAGGAGCCTCCTACCTAGTCTCACCTCTTCATCTCCCTCATCTTAATCTTCCGAGAGTTCAGCTCTTTCTCAGTAATCTTCAGTGGTTGTTTTCCCAACAAGGTCACATCTAAACTCCAGGCGGGGCAGGGCAGACTCCTTTTACCTTACGTGATGCATCCTGCATCTGCAGCCTTCATTTCTTCACTCCCTCTTGATGAGCATTCTGCTTCCTTCACCCTGCCTCCTGTGTACATCTTGTGATGTAGCAGAGCACAGCAATAACTGGTTCAGGACTCTGCAGCCACACTTCCCCGGGCTTAAATTTCAGCTCACTGACTACTAATCCTGTAGCCAAGGGAGCGGTCTTTAGTATCTCTGGGTGAGAATTCCTCCATCTTAGAATGGGGATGCTAACAGCACCTGTAGCATAGGGTTATTATAATTATTCAGTGAATCCTTCTATAGAAAGTTGGTTTTTTTTTTGGTACTGGGGATCGAACTCGGGACCTTGTGCTTTCGAGGCAGGTGCCTGAACCACTGAGCTAAATCCCTGGCATCTATGGAAAGTTTTGAGGATGGTGGTTGGCACTTTGGAAGTTCTCAAACACTGGAATTGTGCTTATTTTCTGATTACCTTTATTCACGCAGGCTTTTTGAAAACCCCTTTTCTGTTTTTTTCCTAACCAAATCCTGCTTCATGCAAAGGCCTTATCCCTAAGCTGGCATTACTTTACTCCTTCCCTCATTGGAAGTAATTTTTTGTGTACCAATTTTTATAGCTCGCCAGTTTTTTTGTAATATGATTATTAGTGTTTTATCTTATCTTCCCTGGTAGATTGCAAACACTGCAAGGGCAAGATTCTAGCCTGGCTCCTTTTGTAATCTCCCTGGATCACTTAGACATATTACTTTGTACATACTGAGCACTCAAACAATTAGAATGACTGGCAAATGAGTTGAGTACTTCAAAAAATAATGAGCAGAAAGCATGTAGAGGGAGGTTGTATAATGGGGTACCAAAACATAAGGATGACGATAGTTCACAATAACTATTTTCTGAAGAAGTCGAAGAGAGGAATTTGAAGTCTCTAAACAATAAAGAAATGATAAGGAGACCCAGGCATGGTCCTGCACACCTGTAATCCCAGTACTTGGGAGACTGAGGCAGGAGGATGGCCTTGAGCTTGAGGCCAGCCTGGGTTACATAGTGAGTTTAAGGCCAGCCTGAAGTACAGAGCAAGACCCTGTCTCAAAAGAACAAAAACAAAGGAGACGAGAGGTTCGAATGTTTGAGGCCAGTCTAGGCAACTTAAACCCTGTCACAAAATAAAAAGAAATAATAAAAAGGTCTGAGGGTCAGGTCAGCTCTAGAGAGTTTTCCTGCAGGTGCAAGACCCTGGGTTCAATCTCTATCTAGTACCACAAATAATAAAAATAATTATGAGAGGGAAATGCCAGTTACCGTGATTTGATCAAGGCACTCTATATGCATGTGTTGAAATATTACACTGAGCCCCATTTATACATAGCACTTATTACACGTTAATAAAAAAAATAAGAAAGTTGGCTGCGGATAAAGTTTGGTGATAGAGTACTTGCCTAGTGCAGTGTATGCAAAGCCCTAGGTTTGATACCCAGCACTACAATAAAAAAGTAAAACAATAAAGTTAAGTTGATTGCAACAAGAAAAAACAATAAATACAACAAACAAACAAAAGGGATAATAACAGTGGAAAGGAGAAGGAGCAGAGCTGGAGGGCTGAAGGCGGGGAGCCCAGTTGCGAGGCTGTTGTGAGCCGAGCTGGAAGTTGTGTGGACTCTGGATGCAGGAAGTGACAAGCGGGCATGAAGTGCAGGGCATGAATCACTGAGGATTTAAGAACCACAGGACTACTCATGGGATCTGAAAGTTGGAAGCGAAATGCAGAGGAAAAGGGCTTCATCACCTTTTGAGTTCTCTTTTACTTAGTTGCAGTTTATTTGACTGGCCCAGGTCTAATCTGTGGTTTGCTCTTCTGTGTAATAGTACTAGATTGCTTTTCTTCTGTAGATATTAATGGTACCTGTAGACAATTGTGATATGTTGATTAACTGGAAGCTCTTTTTCCAACAGAAAAATGAAAACCGATTCTATCTGAAGGAAGTGAATGCCAGCATATATTTGGCTAATGGCTCTGGTAAGCAAAGCATTGGCCTGAGGGAGAAGAGTGGGTTATATTGAAGGAATAGAAACTATAATTATCTTATTACCAAACAATGCCTTATTTAATGGGACAAAAGATGCTATGTAAAAAGTATGCCTTGACCACAGTGTAATCTATAATTTAGATCTGTGGTAGCTGGGTGTGGTGGTTTATACTGTATCTATAATCCCAGTTACTCAGGAGGCTGAGGCAGGAGGATTGCAAGTTTGAGGCCATCTTGAGCAATTTAAAGAGACCTTGTCTCAAAACAAAAAAATATAAAAGGCTGGGGATGTAGGTCAGTGACAGAGTGCCCCCGAATTCAGTCTGCAATACCACTAAAACAAAAAGGAAATGAAAAGAATTACAGTTTTATATCTTTTGCAGTAGCATGGTAGATAATAGAGGAGGATGTGACTGATTTTTAGATTGTAGAAACATCTGTAGAAAAGAGAACCAACTTAGTGATGGTAAGTGGGCAATGTCTTAATAAGACCTCATCTCAAAGTTAAAAATAAAAAATAGGACTGGTGATGTAGCTCAGTGTGAAGGCCCTGAGTTCAAGCCCTAATATCAAAAAACAAAACCAGAAACCCCTAAGACTGTCTTACTTTGATGTTGATGGGATAAGAAATTACTAACATGTTTTTTTTTTCCCTAAAGTTTTCAGCATTGCAAATAACAACCTCAGCTACTGGGATGCCCCCCTGGGAAGTTCTTATATGTGCAACAAAGAGCAGACTCTTTCAGTGTCTGGAACATTTCAGATAAATACCTTCAATCTAAAGGTTCAGCCTTTCAATGTGACAGAAGGAAAGTATTCTACAGGTAAGGCTCAAGTAAACTTTATTAATACTTTATGTTTGTACATTGACCAATTGGTGGCTTTTCTTTGAATCATGGTAATTTAGACATTGAAATAGAGAAATAAGAATTCACCCTTTGACTCTGTAGAGTTCTCACAGCCTTGAGTGAGTTGTGTAACTCTGGCTTATCATTTTGCTCACACTAGATGTTTTTGTGATCTGAAAACCAACCTCAGGTTTAAGTGAGCTTACTTAAAAGCATAGGTGCTTCTCCTAGGTTTGGAGGGACAGATGGCATTTTGAACATCTTGGATCTGCCTTCTTGGGTCCATCTTCTTGCTAGAAATATTTTCATACCTGAATGAAAGTGATTTGGTCTAATTTTGTTGAGATACAAGCTAGAAATCAGGAGCAAAGCTTCAGATACCGTGAACTATGTTTTTGCCAGGAGAAATGATCTGGAGATTCCTCAAAGCACATGCTAGTGCAAATGGGGCTTTTTGAAGATCTACTCAGAGCTGCCATTTGTGGTGGCACATGTCTGTGAATCCCAGCACTTGGGAGGCTGAGGCAGGAGGATCTTCTTGAGTTTGAGGCCAGCCTGGGCTATATAGTGGGTTCAAGACAAGCCTGAACCTACATAGTGAGACCCTGTCTCAAAACAAAAACAATAAAAAATAAAAATAATAAAAATCTTAAAAAATGAAGGTCTACTCATGGCTATTTATCAGATTTTTAATCAAACCTTTGTGAATGTCTTATTGTAATGTATTCACATGAATACAAAAGATACATTTGGCATTGCAAGATTGAAATTTGCATGAAGAAAAAATATACATAAAATGCCTTAGGTGACTTGTCCTAGGTACTTAGAATTGGAGGTTCGTAGATCACAGGTTTGCTGAGCAGAGCCATTTCAGTCATCCACATCTTTTAAACAATTGATTCTGTGTTTTAAAAGGAAATGTAGCAGCTGTGTTTAAAAGTAAATATGCTGTGAGCCATTCCGCTGTTTCTGTGGTGGTGCTAAGTACCTAGTCTGACTTGATTAGGCCAAAATAAATCAGGCTCTTATCCTGCCATTCTTGTGAATAAAGAGGTTAATCATAAATTTAAAAGTATTTTTAAGAATTAATTTTCCCTTTTGTTGGTTTTTCTTATGTACTTCAATTATTTTGATCCTTTAATAGCTTTATTTTTAGAATCTTTATCTACATCATTATCCTCGTTTTAGGTCCAGATTTGTGTTTAGAATTTAAAATCATTCGCAATTATTACCAGTTCAGGCCTATTTATCTAATCAGCTGTGATCGAGATGAGCTGTGCTCTTTGTCTAATTTGAAACTTTGGTTTGTATGTGTATTGAATTTAAAGTGTCACCTAAAGAGGCATACAACATTTAATGCTAATTTTGAATGCATAATCTATTTTTTTAACTAGGTTCTCAGCTATGGTACCTATAAATACGATAGACAGTAGTATTTGAGTGTATATGGCAAGGAAATACACTTCCGGTAAGGTAGAATGGTGTTGATTAGATTTTACTGGATCAGATTGCTCTCTAGAAACAAAAAAATCGTTCCCATGGGCTGCTGGCCTGGACCAGATTGATGATAAGCACAGTAAACATATTCAAATTAGTAAAGAGGTTCCAATTTCTTTACTGTTGCAACCACTAAAATCATATATTCTAAGTTAGGGAATCTATAAACTTTTTTCTCACGAGGTCCAGACAGCAACTGATTTTTTTAAAGACTTTGGGCCCATATAATCTCTGTCATAACCATTCAGCTCTGCCATTGTAGCACAGAAACATCTGTAAGGAGCACATAGATGAGTGTGACTGTTCCTTAAAAATGTCTTTATGGATAATCAAATTTGAATTTCATGTAACTCACGTGTCACAAAATACTCTTCTTCTTTTGTTTTTATCTTCAACTATTTAAAATTGTAAATATAACTTTACAAATATAATTTTTAGCTCTTTGGTCAGATTTGGCCTGTAGTTTACTGTAAAGGAACTCCAGAGCCAGCATAGCTGTTCTGATCCCATAATATGCTGCTGTCCCCAGTTTCCCCAGAGACATTCACTCTACCACAGAGAGGCTAATCTGGCTATGTGTTAAATGGGTTAGATTAGCTCTCTTCATTTCTGATAATCACTCCTGATTTGGAAACGATGTGGACCATAAACACAAACACAGACACATGTATGTATGGATGTTATATGACATATAAGATAGTGTGTGCTTATAGGTATAAATGAAAGGACAAGTAAGTTTCACGATTTTAATTTTAGAATAGTCCATAATTTTCATTAACTTTATCATAAAAATATAGCTGTCTTGGTTGAAATTGATATTGTAAGAGCATTTCTGACTTTTGAATCAACATCTTTTATTTTTGGACATTTTAAAAAAATATACTCATTATTTGTTACACACTTTTTCTCACCTACAGCCCAGGAGTGTTCGCTGGATGATGACACCATTCTAATACCAATTATAGTTGGTGCTGGTCTTTCAGGCTTGATTATCGTTATAGTGATTGCTTACCTAATTGGCAGAAGAAAAAGTTATGCTGGATATCAAACTCTGTAACACTAGTCCATATGTGATCTCTGTTGCAAAATAATAAAGCAAGTACAAGTTCCAACATGCATTACTACTCAGTTTAATGTTCATTTAGTTGCAGTCTCGCTCTTAGAATGGGTGGTTTGGGAGATTTCTAATTTAAATTAAAACATTAAAAAAAATAGAAAAATTAAAAAAAAAACCCATAGACTACAAATTAGCCATTGATTTTTGGTTTCTAAAACCAAGAAATTTAAAAGTATTACTTCCATAGCAAAACATCTGGATTAGAGGTTCTGTTTTACTGCCTTGAATTAATATTTTAGTGGTTTCATTTAAATATTCTGGGTAGAAATATAGTTTAGGAAAAATGTTTTTGAAAAGATTTTTCTTTCTGCATGTGGTTGAATTAGGGCAACATTCTACAGTGGATTTGTACTTGCTCCTTTTGCATTTTATTGTGATTTTGTTTGCAGGTTAACTTAGCTACTTTGGCATTGCTGCATATGTGACCTATGAGAGAGATGTTAGTAGATTTGAACAGGGCCTAGTAATATGTTTTTACCAATGAATGTTTTTCTTATGCTTTTCAATACATTTGTGTTTAATGTGGCCATAATGGCAAAAGATACAAAAATCTTTTAAATTTTAGAATAGGTGTTATTCTTGCTTTATCCTTTTTAAAAAACTGGTCATGCCAATCTTTGAAATTGCAAGACAAATAAATAAATAGCAAGACAACACTATCTCAACTGGGCATTTCAATCTATTTTTTAGGTGCTTTAGAGATAATTGCTAGGCAGTGCCAACTGAGGGCATTAGTCCTTTGTACCCATAAATTGGCCTCAACGTTTAGTACTAAAATTAATGAAGATTTCTCTTCAACCTTCAAGTCTTCCTTGTTGGTGGCAATGTGTTTCTTTCTTTTTTTTTTTAGAAATGCCAGTATGTCCTAGAACCTAGATAAAGAAGTGCACTTACGCTTAGAAAATAACTTGCACATAACTCAAAATTTTGATTTTAGTTCATTAAAAAGTTATTGGTATCCAGTTTGCATTGATTGCTACAGCATTGATTAATTTGGCTTTCACATTAAAATGGCTCTGTGCTAATCAAAACTTAACACTGTTTCTGTTATGGTACAGTCATTATTAATTCATGTACTTTGTATTTAGTTTTGTGCTCTGAGAGGTGCACCGGTTGTCCATTTGCTCTGTACCACCTAATGCTTTATACAAGAAAGGAAGATATTTCAGCTTGATAGTTAACATATAATAAATATTCCTTATAGCTTCTAGGTGATCTTTTTTTATATGTATAAATATTGGTGAGGCTGAGCAAGTACTTTAAAGATATATATATATATATATATATACACACAAAAATTGATTTATAGCCATAGGTGGAAAATTCCTGTGGTTATTTGGGGAGGGCAGTTTATATGCCTCCCACTCACTAGAAAATGAGGAACTATCAGGGTTCCAAAATACTAATGTTGAATGCATTGATACACACACGGGTGTGCACACATGCATGCACATATATAGGCAATTGCATGCTAACATGTATATGTCTGTAACTGTCTTTTGAGTTATATTGGAGTGATAAATATTTTCTCCAATTAAATTTGCTTTCTGTTTAGCCTGCAAACTTTACTGACTCAGAATCAGATTCCTCACTAACCCCTCTCCTAGAGCTACATTGAACTGCATTGTCAGCTTAAAACACTTAAAGATGAAATATGAGTTGATGTTTAAAAAATATTTTTAAACTGTTTTACTGTAAAATTATTAATCTTATAAGAATGGATAATGCTTTTAAGAAAGTGGGCCTTACATATTTCTCTTGAGTGAAAACAAAGCAGCTTTTTTTAAAAGTAAAAATTGGAAGCACAAGTAGTCACACTGGCTTAATGCTGTTAATGTTTCTAAAAGTTTCTACATTTAGAGTATATCTCAGATTGATATTAAAATACCTCTGATAAGCACTGTTTTATAGAAAATCTGACTTCAGTGAATATTTTTGTATTTTACATGGGCCAGTTTATATACTGCTATTTACACTATTATTTCCTATAGCCAGGTGTTCTTTGTACCTTTTGTAGTTTTTGGTTTTGTTTTACTGGATTTGTGCCTTGATGGTAATACACTATTTCGTTTTGGGTGATTTTCATGTTTTACCATTTCCATTAAAAAACTGGTCCATGTAAATGCTTTCCATGTTTTCCCCTCAAATGTTCAAACCACTAGTTGATGTATGGTATCTGTCTTTAGATATTTGCTTGTCTGTTTGCTCAACATTGCTTCTAAAACAATAAAGATTCTTTTATTTCTTAAGGAAATTTGCTCACATTTTTTCCTGTTGGTTAAAGTTATAATGACAATTTCTTTTAAAAGGAAGAACTTTTGAAATACTTACAGGTAGAATTAAATTATTTCTAAAATGTTCTGCCCCTGTATTACTATCTGGAATAAGGATCCTATACATAGGCCTTGACTGATATGAGGCTGGCTGCAGAATAAGAATTACCTGGGAAGTGTGTTAGAAAAATATACACTTCTCAGGATTTCATAGGCTCCATCCCTAGAAGATTTCACTTAGGATGAAGTGTAGGGTGTGTGTGTGTGTGTGTGTGCGTGCGCTTGCGCATGCATGCATGCATATGTGTGTCTGTGAGCTTCCCTTCCAAATCTGATTCATAGCCAGTGAGAGAACCAGTGATCTTGGATATTTATTTCTTAGCAAAAGTTTCAGAGTATCTCTTTATATACCTTTTTCAAAAGTTAAGGCTGATATTTAATATCAATACATAGTAGCTCTATGTTGCAGCCATCCACATTGGGCTATTAATCTGACCAAAAGAGGATTGTGTACCATCTCTTTTAGATCACCCCAAAACACTTGAACCTTCCAATTTTCAGCCAGTTTCCCAGTCATCTTAGTGTGACAGAACACTTAGCAACCTTCCTAGTAATTTTCCTATGGGTTCACCTAGTTAAGCCACAAGAATGAAATAAGTCATCACAGCTCGCAACACTGCTATTACCTCTACCATATGACTGTGGCCTGGTTGCTTATCTTGTAGGTCTTTTGTTTTCATCTAGGGGCTGGAACTAACTTTATTTATCGATTGATTGAAACAGGGTCTTTCTATGTGTAGTCCAGGCTGACCTTGAACTCGAGGCACTCCTCCTGCCTCAGCCTTCCAAGTGCTGGGATTACAGGCATGCGCACACCATACCACGGGGCTGGGACATTAAAATCCTGCTACTCATTTCTTTGAGTGATAATTTCCATTTTAGAGAAGATAAATACATATTTGAGTATATCTAGAAGGACTCTTATAAGCTACTTGTTATGTATCAAGAACATTCTTTTCATTCAATGTACAATGCACTGTCTTAAGTTTTCTGCATTTTTTTCCAGGCAGAATTGTTACAAGATTCATATTTTTAAGATTATAGCGTTTAATATGTTTATTTAGGTAGATAATGCTAAATTGTCTTGGACTCATCTGTCTCCCACCCATTTTCTTTTACCCTCCTGTATCAATAACTATATCTTGTCCTTGAAACTGGTATAGACGTATGTAAGTGGTACTGAGTAGCTTTAAACATCTTTTCAGTTGTCTGTGATATGCTTCAGTTTGAGTGTAGATCCAAAAGGTATATAATAAGTAAGATGTTAATTCTTAAAAGAATTTAAGAATGTGGGTCGGGGATTTAGCTTAGTTAAGGTGCTGCCGCCTGCTCCACAAGTGCAAGGACCCGAGTTCAATCCCCAGTACCCCCGCCCCCCAAAAAGAATTTAAGAATATAATTTTTTTTTTTGGTACTGGGGATCAAACTGAGGACCTAACGCTTGAGAGGCAGGCGGCAGCACCACTGAGCTAAATCCCCAGCCCCAGCTTTCCATTTTTTATACTGGAAATTGAATTTGAAAAGTTTCTGAACAGAAAATTGAAGGTTAATAGTATTCTTAATCTACATGAAACGTCAGTGAAATTTCAGTGGCCATGAAACTTTTTAATCTTTAAAACCTTTTATGCTTCTGTGGCTATTAAACTCTTCCATGAACACTTTTCCTTTCCCCAGAAATATTTTCAATATGGTATTAAGAAGTATACATTAGGCAGATACATCAAGTCAAAATCACATATAGAATGAGATTTTCTTTCTCCATCAGGATATGATCCTATTAAAATTGTTTTTCCGAAATTTCTTTCTATTACCTAAATAATTCTTAAAGATTGAATTCATAAAATCAAGTTACTATAGATTAATATTTTATATACTAATTGAGATTTTAAGTAAGTGACAGCATCTATAAAGGTCTTTGTATTAGTGGAATTGTCTTTTTGATCTACTCTGAGAATATTTGTCTTACATGAAAACCTTATTGGCAGTATTTATGAAAGTCGTTTCAGTATTAGGTCAAATACCCAATTTGGGAAAGAGGAATGTGAGTTTGTTGCCGGAATACGAAATTCATCGTATTCACGAAGTTTTTAGTATATGTGCTGCCGAAGCAAGCACAACTAATGAAGTTTTTAAAAACCAAGAGATCTTAAAATCCAAGGCATAATATTTTAAGGTACTTGTCACCTAATGGTTTGTTGGTTGGGTGGTAATTTGGGAAATTGAAGGGGAGGAGCTAACTGGGAACTCTTTAAAACCATCTATCACAAATTACATCTGGTGAACTGAACTACCTGGGTTCTTAACCAAGTTAAAAAAAGATCATTGAAGGGGCCAGGGACTTAGCTCAGTGGCGCTGTTGCCTGCCTTGCAAGCGCAAGGTCCTGAGTTCGATCCCTGGTACTGCAAAAAAAAAAAAAAAAGATCATTGAGTTGGCAGCCCAAGTCAATGTCAAAAAGTCTGTAAAGGCCAGGGATTTAGCTCAGTGATTCTGGCGACTGCCTTGCAAGTGCGTGGTCCCGAGTTCAGTCTCCGGTACCAAAAACGAAAAAGTCTATAAACTTCAGGATTGCATTTTGTTCCCAGTTATTGCCCCAGAGGCTATCAGAAAAAGAAAAAAAAGCCTGGCACTTTTCTTAAATGCAAGCACAATCAGAATTGCCTTGCAACCTATTCATTCGTATTTTTGACAAAATTTTAATAAGTGTAATTACCTGATTTATCAGTACTAATAGATTGCAAGCTAGGAAGAGAAAGAGGGCAATAAGCAAGGAAATGGGAAGAAGTGAGAAGTGGCAATTCAACAACCCATCCTTCTCCCCTGCCTGCAAGTGTGTACCCATCTGTACCATTCTTTGTCCTCTATATTGTCAGGTTTTCCTGGTGAGTGCTTCTGGGATCCCATTCCTCCTACCTTCTTGGAGACCTTGTCAGCGTCTTCAACCTGTATTTCGTAGTGGCTCTTTCTCTCATCCTATGAACATTTAACTCATCCTATAAATATATTTAAATCTCTTCCTCCTAGATGACATCTTTTCTTGTCCCTGTGTCCTTCTAAGTTCCTCTGTATTGTCCTTTAAAAAACATCATTCTAAACTTCTTGAAATGAATGTATGTTCCCTATCCAAGCTCTTGATGTCCTAACCAATCACTTCCCATTCATTCCTAAACCCACAGCAGTTTGACTCAGACCCTTCTGCTCTTCATATTGCTAGATTCAGTGGACATTTTTGGTTTTGGTACTGAGGATTGAACTTAAGGCCTTTGCACTGAGCTCTGTCTAGCCCTTTTTTTCTTTTTCTTTTTAAATTTTGAGACATGGTCTCTCTTAAGTCACTACCTTACCCAGGCTAGATGGTAGATGCAAACTTGGGATCTTCCTCCCTCAGCTTCCTAGAGTGCTGAGATTACAGGCATGCACCACCATGCCTGGAGCCCAGTGGACATTTTTAGGCTTCTCATATTTTACACTAGTCTTCTAGGCTAATCAGAACCCTTCCTTAGCTTCTGTGGCACCGTTTTCTTTTCTTTTTGTGTGTTGGAGTGACATACATTTTAATGTAATACTTATTTTTTTGAAGCAAAACATTTATTGGTACATTTTAGATAAACATAATGACAACATTTATCATTTATCATAGGGAATTTGAACCTGTACATGATATATCTTGATTCTTTTTTTTCCACCCCCCTTTTGACTCGTTTTCCCCTCCTTATTTACAAAAGCTTTGTTTCCATTTTTTCCTTCTTTTTTTTTCTTGTCCCTTATTTCCTTTCCTCCTCCCCCTTCCCTTGTTCCCCTTCTCATTTGAACATTTTCTTCCCATTTCCCAATATCTATTATACATTTTGATCTTTATTTCCACTTTGTTTCTCACACCAGAGAAACAGTGTGGTATTTACACAAATGTGTGGCACCATTTTCTACCTGCCTTTTCTATTTCTTTTTTTACTCCTTTGTCTATCCCTTACATGTTGATTTCCCAAGGTGTTTTTTTTCTTTCCAGTACCAGGAATCGAACTCAGGACCTTGTGCTTACCAGGCAGGCATGGCACCACTGAGCTAAGGACTGGCCCTTCCTAAGGGCTTTTGCCTCTGGTCTTCTTTTGATTCTACTTGCCCTCAATGAGAAATACCTTTGCTCATGGTTTTAACTACTGCTTTGGTTCACGTATGCACTTGGTTAGGATATAGGCATCCAAAACTCAATCAAACTGAGTGTGTCCCTCACCCACGTATCCTTTCCCACCCGCTCCCCCTCCCAGCAGTAACAGCAAACATACCAAAACGGAAGTGCATGTCTTTCCTTTTGGATTACCATCATGATGAAAACATCTATATAATCATTCAAAGGTGGAATTAGAAACCATCCTATTACCTCTCCTCCTGCGCCTCTACATTCATTTGGTTAATTGTGCCTTATAATTGTATCTCTACTCTGTTCCTTCTGCATTTGCACTTCACTAACTCAGTGCTGGACCATATTATTGGTCCCTTGGACTCTAGCAATAAAGGCACCTCCTAAGTTACTACTTCTAGTCTACTCTCCACCGTAACTTCTAAAACAAATATCCTGTTTAAAATCCTGGTGATGTGTTTGCTTTGGCAGCATATATGCTAAAATCCTGGTGCTGAATTTTTTTCCCATCAAGAATAAGGCCAAACTACCTAGGATCATACAGTGTTTTTGTGATTCAATCCTTGTACACTTTCTCTGCCTTCTGTCCAACCCACTCATTGTTCTAGCTATGCCGACTTGCATTGTCCATGTTTCCTTACCATCCGTATTTTTGTTTCTTACGCTGGAAATGCACTTCTCCCATTTCTTGCATGGCTAATTCCTACTCAAACCTAAAAAAATCAGCTTAAATGTCACCATTTCAAAGTATTTTTGTGTTAACAAGGCTGAATGTGGCTTTGAG